CAGTGAGGAGGGAAGGTCGATTTAACGAAGCAGATATTAAAATAGAGAAAGAGAGATAGAAAGAAGTGGGCAATTTAGAGGGGCGATTGCAGCAGCCGAGAGAGGCAGGCTGAAGCGTACGGACATTGGAGTGGAAAAAATACGGGGAATGCTCGCGGAAAGACAGTATGATAAATTAGGCGAGCATGCATACAGAAGAGGAAGAATGCGCGCGGGGCGGAGGAGGAGCGCACAGAGAGAGAGAGAGAGAGAGAGAGAGAGAGAGAGAGAGAGCGCAGTGAATTTTTAAAATGCCGCGCACATGCTCGCTCGCAAAGTAATGCGTTTCAGAGGCAAATTTTTTAAATTAAGAATCTCACTGCAGTGTATATTATCGCCCGACGCATGACAGACACGGCAGCGCGCGGAAAAATAAGCGCAGCTGACAAATTAATCTCCCGAGTGCAGCGTTTGTTCTGATATTTGGGCAGTAAATTGTTTTCTCTTTTTTCGAGGCGCTTCGCAGTGATACGCTCGGCTCTGGTTATCGAGGGCGACGAGCAGCGTCTGTAGCCATAAAGTCGACAACGGTTGCTGCCCGAGAACGAGCAGGAGACGAAAATTCGTTGCAGCGGCAATTAGCCAGGTACGATTACTCGAGCGCACGAGCGCGCATAGCTAATGGTCGTGTAATTTCTAAAGTGCGCGCGACGCGCAAGCGCGCGTAATGAGCGGCCTCTTGGTGCAATTGCGACGACGACCACCGCGACGGTGAATACATATATAGCTGGCTAAAGTAGCATAATACCTACTCTACCATATACCTGCCAACCGATACGCGTTAAATTGAGATTTTCGTTAATGCCGCCCCCTGTGTTTTTCAATTGTGCGCTCTCTTTAACAAACTGGTTATAATTGACGCGCGCAATGTAGGATTATACGGTCAGCAAGCGTCCATCCCAAAAATAAGAGTAAATGGTAAATTGAAAAATACGAGAGCTATAAGCGTGCACGGAGGCTTTGCCACGCGCTGCTGCTGGTGGCGCCGCTGTAATGCAATATTCATCAAAAGCCTGGGAGTAGCAGTGGGTAGAGGTGAAGCAGCGGCGCGTGCATACGCAGAAATTACGAGAATACAGCGGGCGAGCGCAGCACTTTATTACAGCGCTTCGAGAGTGGCTGGAGATTTTGCTGGCCCCGAGTCGAGGTAGAGAGAGAGAGAGAGAGAGAGAGAACAAGCTGCACAGCGGCAGCAGCTGAATTCACGAGCAGCAATCCGAATCGGCGCGTGGTTAATAATCGGTCGGCCGAGCATCCGACTTGATCGATAAGCAGCCGAAAAGGTCGAGACTTTGTTTCTCCGATGGAAGAGTCCAGGGACGGGCGTTAAGAGCTTTCGTAATTCATAACCATGCTCGTGGTAGCTCGCAAGGGGCAAACGATATCGAGAAAAGAGCCCGAGAGTCGTACGTTATTTAGCAAGGTGCGCGCGCTGCGCAGCGAGATGATGTAGCAGGCGGGGCAGCTGCTTCGCCCTCGTGACCCGACCCTCGACGACGAGCGACTCGCGCTCCCACGACGTGTGTTCGGATTATCGATGGATAATTTGCTTTTCTGGCGTCAAACCAGGGCTTTTCAAGTATATCGATTCGCGCCTTTGTACCCTCCAAGCAGCCTCTCTTGTTCGCTCTCTTTTGTGCGATGTCTTTAAGCTACACGCGCGAAAAATGATTTATGCTTTTTAAGCGCAAATTTCGGCACCGCCTACATCGCGGCCTCGCTTGTATTTTTCATTTCCCGTGAGAATATCTAATGGAGCGTATGCTGACTTGCACAAGCAACTTATCCGATAATGATATATTTCTTCGTTTTCTTTTCCTAAGTAGAATAGACATTTGCTTCGCGATTGCCGTCACCGTTACCCGTTGTTTTATTAATTTCATTCTACCAATAAGTTATCATCGATTTGCAAGTTTGCCAAACAGAAAATGTTTGATTGTCTCAAAAATGACACGGCGATGCGAATTAAAGAATTAAGAGACGCTAGCAATCATTTACAACACAATATTACCTAGCATCTACCAAATAACGAATACATTCTCATTCCGCCATACGATGAATAAACGGTAACGTCTAAATTTTGCTTAGTTTCCAAGTAAGAAATACGCCAGCGTGCAACTTCATTAAAATAAAGCTGCGGCAATCGCACAAATCATCCGCTATTCGCTCGAGCTTCACCTATATATGTTTTTCGCTAATACGTGCCGTCCGTAACAATTTACGCGCAAACTTGGCTTAATTATCATCGCATTATTTTGCGAACGACGAGAGCGAGAACGCAATCGTCGCGCGCACGGCTGCGCTGCCACTGGCGCGACTCACGACGGACCATAAATTTTAATTAAGTTCCGGTTAAGGTAGCACACGCCAAGGGCTCTCGGCTGACTAAGCTCGCATTTGCAACTGCGCTTTTTCTTATTCTCCGTCTTTTTTTTTTCAGTTGAAAATCGGACCGAGATCCCTCCGGAGCGAGCTTTAAGCTTGAATTATCGAGCAAGGCAAGAAGTTTCGTCAAAAGAAATATAGGTGGAGGTTGCAGGGACTGAATTATTAGGCGGGTTCGGGAGCGGCCAGACGATGCTTCAATAAATTGACAAAGTTGTATTGTTTTTTTTCTTTTCGGGCCGCGCGCGTCAAGAATCACTCGCTCATTTGTATTCGCGGAAAATCGCGAATCAGTATTCGAAACAATGATGGCCAACTATTCTCATCAATTTGAAATTCCGAAACTGTTTGATATTAGGAAAGTTGGTGTGTGCGCTATATTAGCTTAGATATGAAATTGGAATATTCTGCATTATTTTGTGACAAATAGCGAAGACTCTTTCGCACAGGAAACGGCGCGGCCGAGCTTCTCAAGTGGAAAGAAAAGAGAATGAGATTTTGACGGGAAAGTATGCCGAGAAGGGTGAATTGGTGGTAACAACAGTTTTCGACGGAATGGTAAATTTATGCGGAAAATCCGTATGAACAGGGAAGTACAGGCGCTTAGAGCGGCGAAATAATGGAGGCGGGCCACGTCGAGCCTCTCTGGTGGCACCTTCGAATAAGGTATAAGAAGGAGGCCGGTTGCACTCGACTGCTCCCTTTAGCCCTTGGGAGACGAGTGTTTGGCTTGTCCTCGAGAGAGAAAGAGAGAGAAAACTTTGGAATGTCGCGCACGTGTAGTAAGCTGCGTCCTCGCTCTTCAAAGTACTCTCCAGACGAGACACGGGCGTGTTTGCGCGTGCGTACACCTCGACGCGATTCGAAAGAAAGCAAAGAGAACAAGAGGCGCGCCTTCGTGACAGAGGAACTTTTCAATTCCACTGCTCTTGGCGGAGAGAAGTCGGCGAATTTAATTACCGGCCGCTCTCTGTCCCAGCGATAGTCTCTTCTCTTTGCTCTTCTTCGTTATTGGCCGATCGAACGGAAAGCAATTTCCAAGATGTTTCCTCGTATGACCAAGGCGCAAGCTTTTCCCGCTCTTACTTTTCGGTCGAATCCACGATTGACTCCGCTTAATAAATCACGCAAAGTCTTTTACGCGGCAGCCGTAAGCCTATAAACGTTTGCGGCCAATTAATCATAGCAGCATTTCGTTTTCTCGCATTATCGATATCAATTATATCGAGTATATTCCGTCCCGAGGGCAAGTTTGGTAAGCATGATAAATTAACAAGGTCCCGAAAGTGGCAAGAACAAAAGAAAACTTGTCGGAAACTTAAAGTCACGGCGACGGCGGCAAGTCCGAAACTTCATCCAAGATGCATAAGCCCGGCGTATTAACAAAACTCCAGCGAGTATAACGCGCTCAATGTACTATGCAAAGTTCCTCGATATATCCATCATCCGGGATATTAGGAAAGAAAAGCTCGCCGGGCATATGATCGCGCCGTCGTCGTTGCGGCTTTGCGAGGAACGGCTGCTCATATTTACGCTGCGCGCGCAAAGCCGCACCTTCGCGCCTCAGTCATTCTGCGCGCGCTTTTGGATCAATTTATCAGAGTGCAAATCTTGACCAAGACCCAATCGATCAATCTTTCCACTGATAGAAAGAGACCAAACGTGTTCGATCTACACTTATTCGTTACTTATGTATAGTATCGACCAGTCATTTTATTATTTCAAGGATCAATTAGCTATGAGCACCGTTCACAGGTCATACAGATTGATGAACTTTTCAAGCTACTTTTGGCCTATCGATTTTAGCTTTTTTCAGCTTTACAATCTATTCATATTGTTTTCACCAAATTGATGCTGTCTTCATCAGCTATAATAAAAAATGGCGTATAGCAGGCAAATATAACTTTATCAGACTTGATTTAATTCAAACATGGTTATCGCCACATAACAACTTATTAATATCTCATTAACAAGTAATTAGTGAATGATGTTATTGTAGAAGAAACGTTAAATTTTATGATAACTGCTACATTCGTGCGATTTATAATGTTATACAAATTATACCACTGTGAAATAAACGCAACCTAATAATATATTTTTCGAAAATTATATACGTATAATCGTGAAAAAGATAAAAATTTCAGGTACAAAAAGGAAGGCTGTTAAAATAAAGTTTTCTAGAACCTACAAGCTTTTGAAAAGTCAAAGCTTTTAATAAAAAAAAAAAAAAACCTGACGGAATCACTAATATTTATGGACAATTATATTTTCGTCTGACCCTGGTGTATTTCATAATGCACGTATGCCATTCTAGAAAAACAAAGCTCGACCGTCCGTTTATTTATGCTGATATAGGATTCCGGTAAAATATTTATTGTCCATCAACGGAAGCTCGATAAAACGTCAAAAGCACAAGCAACGACGAGAATTCACATTTGAAAAACCATTGGCGTTTCATTGCCGCCACACGCATGAAAAATACGGGCCACGCTTTCGCGAATAAATCTCTTGTGAAGAAAATCACGCATGAAAAATAAAACGCAGAGAAGAATCGAAAATTTGGGGCAGGTACTCACCACGAGTATGACGCATCGATTTTCGTAAGTGACGCCACCGCAGCCAAGCCAGCTACCAATGATAGCAAGAGCACCTGCGGCTATCAGGGCGTAAGCCAAGATCGGGTAGGTCGAGGTCGCCATCAACGATATGTAGCTGTGCTTCGCCACCACCGTCCAGATGCCGATGCCACCCACCACTATGCCAGACAGCTGCAACATAAAGAGTACACGTATCCATTTTAATATTATGGCTTTTTTTATACTCCATTTTTCGTCTTATCAATTGTATTTTCATTACTGCAATCGACCGGTTTTTACTCGACAACTTTCTAATTTCATACTTGGCATATCGATAAGTTTCTTATGAGATCTTTTGATAGTCGTGTCGATGAAAATCTTTGGCAAATTGTGCAATCCAGGTGGAAATCGAGATTTACCTTATCCGAATTCCAAAAGATTCAATCGACATATTTTAAACTCATTCCCGTTACATACCCTACCTTAAAAAATGACGAGTGGCTGATATTTGGCGTTATGATTTTGCAACATTTGTATAGTAATAATAAAGTACTACGTTTGTATTTCAGTAGTATGATAAGTGTGCGAAAAAGTGTTATATTTAATAACTTGCCAAACTAACTATGATTTTCATAAAGTGAAAGGTTATTAATATAAATTAGAGGTTATACTGAATATATTAGTACAACCTTAGGCCATAAATTATTTTATTCCCTCATGCTAATTCCATACTTTTTTTCAAAGATCAACCCGAAGATATTCATTAATGATGACAACGCGTTATCCAATGATGATAAGGTTTTGTTTTCACGAAACGGGTCTCTTAATCGGACGAGTCAAAGATCAACCCAATCCAACTTGCTTGAGAAACAGAAGATGTTAAGAGTCAAAATAGACGCCTATTCCAGACATGGTCCTTTTAGTCATGAGCGGATTAGCCCGCTTGGAAAAGATTTTGTCTCAACCCTGATTTGGAAGTAGAGGTTCATTTTTTAAGAGTCGGGTCCTGCACCCAGGTGAATCGAGGATCAACCCGCTTGCAGAAAAGGATCTGGCTGTTATTTGTAATAAGATTGTCAGGACGATAATCTGAAAAAAGAGGGGATACTGTTGTATGTTAGGTATTTTTTAGGCTTTTTTTCAAGATATGAGGTTAAAAAAACTACTCACGTAAGCTCGTAATTTGTATTACGTTCAGCAAACTAATTTTCTTTTCTTTTATAAATAATTGAATTTATTTATCAGAGTGATTGTGTTAGTATGATATTACCATCCGAAAGGTTGAATTAATACAATAAATAGTACAGAAAGAAAAAAACAAGATAATCAAGCAAAGCTAGTTTAGCCGTCAATCGGATTGGCCGCTGCGTATCGGAAGGTCGGGTGTTCGCGCGAACTTCGAAAGCAGCACACAATCGTCAGCCTAGAAATAGGCTTGAAGCGCGTAAAAGCTCCATCGTCCCGCATCTAAATTTTTACTGCGCGTACATATCCGCGTTCGACACACCGCTACGTTAGGTAAATATTGCGCGCGGGCGGGGCGAGCTAATCCAGACGAGCTGCGCTGCAAGCGTGAAAAAAGGTGGTGCGCGCGGCAGCGCCGAGCGGATTACGGTCAGTCGTGTTGGCAAACGACCGGCGCGCTTTCTCGCTCTTTCCCCCGCGCTCACGGCAATTGCGGCGATGGGAAAAACGTGCTCGCGCATGCTCTTCCGTGCTAATGGATGCGTAAGTGTTACGTTCGCCCGCGGGTAAAAAAAAAAGGAAAAAATAAAGGAGCGACGAAAATCCTACCGGTATTCTAACGCCGGGCACGATCATTACCACCTGTAAATCCCTCTCGCCATCGACTAGCATAGCGTCGGGAAGAAGAACAAAATCATCGCCGGTCTCTCCGCGGGTGTGCTTTTCATTTCTTCTTTATTATTCAAGCTGAAACGCGCGCGCGACAAATCATACGTACTTTGCATTTGAAGCATGTCCTGAAATTTATGCCAATAGAAGCGCAATTGAATTTATAAGTAGCCAGGCAGAGATACCGCGCAGGGAGCGCGACTCGTAAATTCACCAAGTAACTCGAAACGTACTTATGGTATTTCCCGTGCCGTTTATTTTTTAGAAATAAAAGATGGGCTATTTACCACTGCCGGACGGCAATATCCTAGCATGTGAAGCTGTACTCGCTGCTGACCGTATATATACGCTACTGGAGCTCGCGGAGCAGCACTTCCGTAGCGAGTAATTCAACGCGGATGCGAACCCGTATTCCTAGTCTAATTAAAGCTCGCCGAGTTTTGAGCTACGATGCATCGCGCAAAATTGCAAACGCCGCTCTGTACAACAGGATATGATGTACGCTACTACGCTAAGGTAATACAAAGCTTTATATGGCAAAACCAATGGCGATTGCTACCGCATCATCTCAAATTGAAGCTCGCAAATCAAAACAAATTTAGTAAAACTGCATACCTAGCACTCTGACATATTTTAATTTACTTTTTGTCGCTTTTTTCGAGAGACAACTCTTTTAACTTTATCAAATAATAACTGATATTTTGAAAATTGTTATATTAATTTATTAAATTAATTATGAAGTTGACGGTAGATTGTACGTTGTAACAAGTTCAAGTATGGATAAATTTCTAAAAGGACCATCGTTCGGCAATATTAACTTATAAATGAAGTAATCTTTTCGACAGAACATGCTGTTGATATATAAACAATTCCAGCCTTGAGACTCATAATGATACAATATATATTCAATATTTACAGAGTACTTTTTAAAATATTTTTGTATGAACTTATTAAATTAGTATGAAATAGAGCACAAGTGCATCGATTAATAAGCTGTCTATGACCTCAAAAAATTCTATAAAAATGTTAAATGTAAAAGCACATCAGTCTTACAAAAGCCATAAAGAATTGTAATCAAATTACTAGTGTGGCATAGACAGAATGAGAGGATATAATTTTCTGTCCAAAGAAGGAACGGAGCATGTATGGTTTTTGTCAACGTGTATTTAGCAGGTTAGAATCACATAGCATAGCATGCATAGTGCACACGCATGTTTTTCACTTGTTCTTCAATTTGTAACTTCAATATACTAAATTTCAAAGTACTTTCTAAATTACTTTATTGTCACACTCACACATGACCTATATCACCAATCTCAGACTGCAAATTTGTTATAATTAAGTTAAATAATACAAATTTGTATTAATGTCTTACCAGTAAACTCAATATTACTACTTTTCATCTTTCATCTAGATCAAACGTATTTGTGCGTTTGTGTAAGGCTTCCAATGTTACCGAAATTAACTGACATCAAAGTAATTTTTATCAATAAATATAGCAGCGACATATTTGAACCTAACGAGCTTGTCAATTGCATTTCGCCGGCGTAATTCTCGTTTCATACGCGCGATATGAGAGTAGAAAACAATTTTCACGTTGCTTTTATTTCTAGGCAGATACGGGATTAGTATGCGCCGTCAACGGAGCAACTTTTCCTTATACGTGTCAAGCACACGCGATCTCGCTCCAAGAGACTCGCGAGCTTCGCGTATAGTCGACCAAGAAAATTGCACGTAGTCGTCGTCAATTCGCCATGAAGCGAGATCGAGTTGAAAAATCAGGTCACACCTGTTGTAAATTTAGCGTTCATGCTTCTAATGCTCGCGCGAATCTCCGATATTGCAATTTCCATGCATTTTATCATGCGCACGCAACGCTGTTGCGGAAAAATTCTTTTCTGTCCTGCTCCGGGCGGCGAGTTTCGTGTTCAATTTTTTCTTATTCATTTTGCGATCGTATCACGTGCACACTTGCTCTCGCCGAAAATTGCCATCAGGCATGCACTGGCATTACAACGAGAATCAAAATTAATCCCAAAATACACGCGCGAGCTGCGGCTTCGTCGATTAATTCTTTTCGTGGAAATAAAAAGAAAACACTTTATGCGTACGAGCGTATCGAAATTGTAAGCTCATTTGCCATTATTTCATAAAAAAATACAGAGTGCAGGGCTTTTGTATTTGTACTTGACTGTAATATTTTCGCGCAAACAAAAGAAAAAGATCATGCCAATTACATGCTTGTTAAGGCTGTTTTTCGTACGGGCGATTCTTTCGCTGAATAAATATAATTACTACGATCGGCGGCACATTGTAATCCGCGTCGAAAACACCCTATCAAGAGTTGTTCATTGTGCGTTGACCAGCAATTTGCGCATTATTCCCGCAAATCACGATTCATTCCGCCACATGCGCTGCCAGCAATCAATACAAGAGTTGACTGGAGCGCTTTCATTAACCCGATATTAACGAAGCCCATTGGAAGCCGGAAAAAAGTCAAGCTATCCAAACAATTAGCTGGCGGGGGCTGCTCCCATTCATTCTGTCGGACGTACGGGTCCCCATTGTTCGAAGCAAACGTAAGCGTCTGAGTAGGTTAAGTCTCGAAATAACGAGGACGCCTGAGCTGATTGAGATATCGAGCGTAGCAAGAGAGAGCTTAATGAAGCCATCACTGCTAAACAATTATTGCCTGGCCTATGTAGCGCATCAAGTGCAATGCTCGTTAGACCATCTCCTACGTCTTACCGCGTCTACGTCTTTATAAGCTGTGTCTTTCAAAGTCTACCGGCAAGTATCTTCTTGTCTCGCTTTTTTGTCTTTGGTTTACTTTACAAATTTTTGGAAAACAACCTAGTTATCCAATGTTTTCAAACACAAGAAAATAAAAACGAAAATTATTCCAGATTTGATCGACAATAGATGCTTTTTACCAATAACAATAATGCGGGACATAGAAATCACGAGAGCGTTAAGTATTTTCAAGTGATTGAAATATTTCCATTTTCGCGCAATGGCGTTCATTCATTCATCGACGTTGTTTGATCGGCGCATGTTTGTCGTTTGAACTGGATTGCGGGTAAAGTTGAGAAAAGCCGTGGGAGGCCATTCATCACAAGGACAATAAACATCGGTATTAAGTTGTTTTTCATTTTATATTGTAATTGCTTTACTTTATCAATCGCAACACTAATCCCGTAATGACGATAACGGATCTCCGATTCTTTTACACTCTTCGACCAAACGAAAGAGAATCGGATTCGATTAATAACCTAGTAAGCTTATTGAAAGGCCATTGAAAGATGAAATGCTCTTATCTACTGTTCAGTTCTTGAGGT